CTCCTCAGCCTCCCACCAGGCCTGCTCTATTTACTATATTTTTGACTAGCTAATCTCTTTCACTCCATTATGTCAGTTACACAGGGGCCACAATAATGTCAAAGCCCATTTTCAATTCAAGGAAACAAAACTCAAGAAATGCTTTCTGAGTGCGTGCTGTGTGCCACGCACTGTGGGATCCTAGCTAGACAAGGTCCCAGACTGCAAGAACCTTGATTTTAAGTAAGATAAATAGCCAAATAACTATAATACAATAATGGAGGTGCCAACAAGCTGTTGCTGAGAGAAAAGGGCATGAAGAGAAGGGAACATAGCATTTGTAGGGGGTAGGAAGGAATCACTGGCAGGTTTTTGACAGAGGTGGCATTTAATATAGCCTTTAAAGGATGTGATTTTAGTGAGCCTAATGGGAAGGTGTGACATCATGATATACAAATAAATATATAAAAAGAAATATAAAAGATTTGTATTTGGTCCTTGTCCCTGACAGAAGCACCTGTGTTCCAGACCCTTCCATTCCTCACTCGGTGTACCTCTCCATCTGTCTGTTCTTTTGTATCCTTTATAATATCCTTTATAGTAAACCGGGAATGGTGAGCACAGCACTTTCCTGACTTTTGTGAACCATCTGAGCAGATTACTGAACCTGAAAGGAGGGGTTGTGGGAAGCCATGACTTCTCAGCCGAGTCAGACAGAAGTGTGGGTACCTTGGTACCCATTCCTTGCAACTGGTATCTGAATTGGGGGCATCCTTGTGGAACTGAGCCCTTAAACCTATGAAATCTTATGCTGGCTCCAGGGAGTTAGTGTCAGAATTGAATTGAGTTGTGGGACATCCAGTTGGTATCAGACCAGCTCAGCATCACTGGTCTCACAGTATGTGAGGTTATGGTGCTTTGATGTTTAACCTGCAAGGGGCTTGAAATCCCAAGATCTGAGGTGAAATCCTACATGTGTCACTTACTCCTGATGTGACCCTGGGCAAGTTGCTTCACTTGAATAAGCCTGTGTTTTCTTGTCTCCTAAAGCCAGGAATGGTTTTTCCAGTGGAAAAATCCCACACATTTGGTGTCAGAAGTATTGTGAGTAAAACCAATTCAGAGAGGGTATTCCATACCAAGAGACTGGGACGTGTGCAAGGTGTGCTTGGGCAAATAGAAGCCCCGTTTGGCTGGGCCCTCAAAGAAGTACAGATGGACGGCTTTGAACCAGATTGTTCAGCTTTATGGGCTGAACACTTGTTGATGTGTTGCCACAACTTAGATTATTCCTGTACCACTGTCTGAATATTCTCCAGATCCACATATCATCTGTACTCTACTTCACGTCATTCCTTATCAGCTCACTGTGTTATGTAAATTTTTTAAGATTTTATCTTTAAGTAATGTCTACACCCAACGTGGGGCTCAAACCCACAACCCCAAGGTCAAGAGTCACATGCTTTACCAACTGAGCCAGCCAGGCACCCCTATGTAAATATAATGAACACTGTATCAGGGGTCAAAAATGGCCCCACAGACCAACTACCCCACCGTCTGTTTTTGTATAGCCCACCAGCTAAGAATAGTTTTTATATTTCTAAATGGTTGAGAAAAAAATCAAAGGAAGAATAATATTACATGACCTGTGAAAACTATATGAAATCCAGCTTTTAGTGCCCAATGATAAAGGGTTTTTTTGGGACACAGCAGTGCCCATTTATTTACACATGGTCTATGGCTGCTTTTGTGCTGTGACAGTGGAGTTGAATAGTTGTGACATAGACCATACATGACCTAGTCTAAAATGTTTACTCTCTGGCCCTATACAGAAAGAAAGTTTGCCAATCTCAGATATAAAGTAAATGCATTAACATATACATCTGGAAGTCCTGTCACTTGTTATAAATGAAAAGCAACTGGAACAAATCATTTTAAAATAAAAGTAACACCAGCAGGACACACTCAAGCAACGCCTTGGGAAAGCACTGATTTGTTGAGCACTTACTTTGTGCCATGCACTTTTTGCTAAGTGCCTTTATGTGGGATAATGATAGCAGCTACAGTGTAGCTTATGATTTAATGTGAACAAATACTTCATATATATTATTTAATTTAATAATCAAGATACTTGATTGGAAACAATGCTGTTTTGCTTTAGGAGACAAGAAAACACAGGCTTATTCAAGTGAAGCAACTTGCCCAGGGTCACATCAGGAGTAAGTGACACATGTAGGATTTCACCTCAGATCTTGGGATTTCAAGCCCCTTGCAGGTTAAACATCAAAGCACCATAACCTCACATACTGTGAGACTAGTGATGCTGAGCTGAAAAGTCCATTCCTATGTCTGAAACCAAGGGAAGCTCTTAAAATTTTCTGAGCAGGGAGAGTAACATACTCAGAGCCCTGGTGTACTAGCATGGGTCTGGGCATGCTGAGCAGGAAAGATGGGACTGGGTACCCTGGAAACAGGTCAATTTGAAACAAGAGGGTATCAGGGAATGCCCATGTTCAGAGAGGAAGGCAGGAGGAGCAAGACCAAAAGAGCAGGGGGCTGGGGCACCTAGGTGGCTCAGTTGGTTAAGCATCTGACTCTTGGTTTCAGCTTGGGTTATGATCTCAAGGTTTGTGGGTTTGAGCCCCATGCCGGGCTCCAGGCTGACAGTGTGGAGCCTGCTTGGGATTTTTTTCTCTCTCTCTCTCTGTGTCCCTCCTCCACTCATGCATGTGTGCTCTCTCTCAAAACAAATAGATAAACTTTAAAAAAAGAGGGGGGATGCCTGGGTGGATCAATTGGTTGAGCGTCCAACTCTTGATGTGGGCTCAGGTCATGATCTCGCCTTTCATGGCTTCAAGCCCCGTGTCAGGCTCTGATGCTGACAGCGCAAATCCTGCTTGGGATTCTCTCTTTCCCTCTGCCCCATCCTCACTTACGAGCTCTCTCTCCTTCTCTCTCAAAAATAAATAAATAAACTTTAAAAGAGAGAGAGAGAGAGAGAGAGCAGGAGGAGGAGGGACCCTCTTGGGAGATGCATCCTAGAACGTAGGGATAACAACTAGGAGTGAAAGGGACTTCTGAGAATGCCAGCAATCTGTGTACTTCTGTGGCCAGAGAAAATAGGAGAAGCAACGTAAAGAGAAAATAGGGAAAGATTCAAAGGCCCAAGACAAACAAGAGGTGATGATGAAAAAAGCAGAGAGGAAGGTTAGACCTGGAAGTAAGACATACCTGTCTCGGCCAGTACGATGGTTTAAAACATATCGGCTCAATGAGGACTTTAAGAGACAAAACAGATGAACATAAGGGAAGGGAAACAAAAGTAAGATAAAATCCGGGAGGGGGACAAAACAGAAGAGACTCATAAGTATGGAGAACAAACTGAGGGTTACTGGAGGGGTTGTGGGAGGGGGGATGGGCTAAATGAGTAAGGGGCACTAAGGAATCTACTCCTGAAATCATTGTTGCACTATATGCTAACTAATTTGGATGTAAATTTTAAAAAATAAAAAATAAAATTAAAAAAAAAAAAACATATTGGCTCAGTTGTTTAAGCATCTGACTCTTGATTTCGGCTCAGGTCATGATCTCACAGTTTGTGGGTTAGAGCCCCACATCAGGCCCCGGGCTGACAGATCAGAGTCTGCTTGGGATTCTCTCTCCCTTTCTCTTCCCCTTCCCTGCTCATGCTCACACACATTCTCTCAAAAAATAAACTTTTTTTTAAAGTAAAAAAATTAAAAATAAAAACATATCTACAAATACACCTTCTTTCAAAAAGTAGACCTTAATCCCCCAGTCCTTCAGCATGGGTTGTACTTGGTGACTCATTTCCAGCAAATAAGACAAAAGCGATGGTGTGTCACTTCCAACACAGGGGAAAAAAAAGCATTTGTTTTCCTCTTGTTCTCCCTTTTTTGGATCACTTGCTCTAGGGGGTCCAGTCACTTTGTCATGAAAACACTAAAGTGACCTTCTGGAGAAGTCCACATGGTCAGCAACCAAGATCTGTTACCAAGAGCCAGCAAGGACCCCACGCCTCCAGCCAATGGCCTTGTGGGTGAGCCCTCGGGTAATGGCAGCCCAGGCCCATGAAACCACAACTTCATGAAAGATCCTGAATCAGAATCACCCAGCTAAGCCACTCCCAGATTCCTGACCCACAAAAGCTGTTTAATAATCTATGCATGTTGTTCGAAGCTGCTAAGTTTGGGGTAATTTGATAGACACCAATAGATAATTAATAAAGTTAGCAATAGGAGCCTCTTGGCCAGGAACCACTAGGGTTTCCCCCTTTCCTGGAATATCTTAGAAACATAAAACCTAAAGAGGCCACAGGGACTCTTATTCCGATTCTCCAGAGTGGGGAAGGGTTGGTGGCAGAGCTTACACAAAGACCCACATTTCCAAATTCCCCACACACAGTGAAACACCTCTGCCCCCCTGCAAGTCTCCTTCTCCTCAGTGCATTTGCCCATCCACTCATCCCACAAATATTAAGCACCTACTTCATCTGAGTACTGGCTAAACAGCATTGAGTAAGACAGACCTGGAGTTTACATTTTAATGGGGAAAGGCAGTGGTGATGACACAAGTAGGCACATAAATAATTTCAGACAGCATTAGGTGTTCTGGAGAAAATAAAACAAGGTAATGGGGAGATTCCTGGGATGGGAGGCAGGGTATGACTATGGGTATGGGGTAGACAATAGGCCTGCCGCTATCATTGCAGGGACAGACCAAGGGCACAGATGGAGGCCCCAGACATATGTCTAAGTATTTAGAAGTATAAATCAAGCTAACAGACTATGAAGATATGTTCTACTATCCTATGTGGGAAATATGTCCCCATAAAGACCTGGAATACATGATCCGAATTTAAAATCTGCAGCCTTCCCAGAGTCCCACACCAGAACACAGCAGCATAGAGAGAGCCAGCTCAACCTTTAGCCCTCCTCCTGACCCCTTTTTCTCCCCACATGTCTCCCACCCTCACTCTGCCTCACATCAAGGGGACTCACCTGTGCTTGAGTGGACATTGTAGCCCAGTATCCCAGCTCTGGCCTCACCCCACTCCCAAACACAGGCCTAAGCAGGTGTTCTCTTAAGGTTCTGTCCATCCCCTGGAGGAGAGAAAGTAGGGGGAGGTGCCCAAAGCCGTAGGAGTTGAACAGGACTGTTGAACAGAGATTCCAAGGCCCCACTCACTGAAGCATGGTCCAGAAGGGAGCTTCAGGTGGGCACCTCTCTCTGGTCTCTTAGACTCCTCACACCTGAGGGGCATGGCCAGAGGAGGACCAAAGCTGGTCTGTTACAGGTAGTGCATCATTTTCCTACTGCTGTTGCAATAACCACAAACTTTAGTGGCTGAAAACAACACAAATTCATTGTCTTGCAGTTCTGTAGGTCAGAAGACAAGTAGGATCCCACCTGAAGTCAGGTAGGATCTCAGGATTAAAACCAAGATGTTGGCAGCCTGTTTACCTTTCTGGAGGTTCTAGGGGAAAATCCATTTCCTTGCTCATTCAGGTTGTTGGCAGAATTCACTCCCTTGCAGTTACAGGACTGAGATCCCTGTTTGTTTGCTGGCTGACAGCTGAGGTTCATTCCTCCCTTCTTGTATTCCTGACCCATCGCAGAATCATAGCCTAATCAGAGATTGTTAGCATTGGAAAATGGTGTTGAGGACGCTGAGCCACTCCACCCCCTCAAATAGATCCCACATCAAGAGACCTTGGACAAACCCCAAGTTCTCCTAACTCCCAATTGATTATTCCTTCCCTTACACTTCATTGCATTCCCTATCAGGAAGGCCACCTCTCTAACAATCCACCTCCTCACGTCTTGCAAGAGCCAATCCAAAGGGTGCCCCTTCTGGAAAATCTTCCCAGCTGTGTTGTGACTAACCTTATGCTCTATCCCCTTTCGGCAGGCAGACAAAATTTGGCCAGCATCTCCTCATTTTTGTTCTCTGTTAGCTGTTTGTATGTGTTGTCTCCGTCACTAAATCACACATGCATTGTGACTTCTCTAGTTTTCCCATAACAGACAGCAAAGTGATAGAAATGTTTTCAGTGAAGGAAGGCAGGGAAGTAAGTATGATGAAAAATGGAAGGAGACAGGACTTAACTCTAGAGTCCTGATGGCAATTTCAGGCTGGTGATGTGTACAACGTCTCTGAGTGGTCTGTGTTGTTGGTGGAATCAAAGCAGGGATGTTAAAGAGGTCATCTATGCAATCAAGGCTGTGCCGGAACACAGACTCTCTGGTACCCTCACCCACACCTTTAACAAACATTTCCTTCCTCATTCTGTCTTGGGCACCTTCCTTAGAATATGTGTCCATTTTTTGTTCCCTTGGAGTTCACGCTTTCTTAGACTCCCTGAAGGGAAGTTACAGGATGAAAACAGACTAGAAATATAAAAACAGAGATCACTGTGTCAGGGTTATCTTTAAGAGATTCCAGAATTTAAAAGGCTCCAATTTGCAGATAATTCCCGGAGCGCCTCTTGCTGGCCAAACATGACAACCAAAATGATTTTGTAAACATAAAAAGAACAAAAAAATTGGGTTCCACTACCCAGTTTGGTTTCCTCCTGTAAGTAATGATGCAACTTTTCCTGCCCACGCCCACCTGATAGAATCAGAGTTAGTGGAAAGGCACTGAATATTTATGTGAAAATGCGTTTAGGGTGTTGAATCCCCAGTAAGTTGTTAAATTTTGGGCCCAGGAAAGTGAAGTTATTTGTATAATGAAGAATTGAGCTCTTGCCATTGAACTTGGACCCTTGGTACAGGGATGACAGGGAGAATTGTCAGATTTCCAGGCGTCCTTTGCCAGCTTGATAAGTATTACAAGACCTGAAGGCCGTGGTAGAGAGCAGCCAAGGATGAGACATGAAGCAAACGGCCAGGGTAGGTAAGTACCTTGCTCAGCAGCTTCCAGATAATTTGGTCAGGGGGCTGGAGGGTGGATTTTTTAAATGATTTTATTTTTTTTTTAGTAATCTCTATACTCAGTGTAGGACTCAAAACCCCGAGATCAAGAGTTACACATTCCACCGACTGAGCCAGCCAAGTGCCCCAATTTTTTTTTTTTTTTTTTTTTTTTTTTTTTTTTTTTTTTTTTTTTTATATTTTAAAACTATGTTAACAACAGAGGGGGCTTTTTCTCCCCCTTGGAAAAAGTATAAGATCTGAGAGTGGTCACATTTTTTTTTCCTGGGTATTAAAGAACAAGGTAGGACATTATGCATCCGGCACCATTAGGGGCCTCGTTGTTACGGTAACAGGGATGGGTAAGCATAGATTTCCAAATGCTGAAGGCCTCTAAGTCAATATAAGGATGAGCATTGGTGAAGCCCAGGTAGTGAAAGGAAAAAGCAAATAAATACCGTCCCCTCTTGCCCCCTGGCCAGGGCTGCACAAAAGAGTCCATTAAACTAATTGACGCAGGCCCTGGTGGAGAGCTGACAAAAGTCCCAGCTGGGTTAGGTTTCCCCACCTCATTTCCTAGTTGGGGATCTCAAGATAGCCTCCCTTCACTTGGGGAAGCTGGGTCACACGGGCAAAGCAATGGCCAGGAAGCTGAACAAGAACCCTAAGACCAGCCTACTGAGACCTTGTGCTTCCCCATCTGTGAAGTGAAGGTGTTGTTCTAGAAACTTTTCAGCTTTAATTCTGTGTGGAGAGGCAAATCTTTATTTAAAAAAAAAAAAGCTCTCAGAAGACTTACTATTTACTGGATAGCTACCATGTGTCAGCTGCTTCTTATTAACACTTAATCCTCAAAACTCAAGTAGGATTTGTCCGTTTTGTCAATTGTTTCTCCCATTTTATAAATGAGGAAATTAGGTTTGGGAAATATAATAACTGAGGTCATTAAAGTCAGGCAGGCATACACCAGCCTTCACCCTGAGGTCTGTCTGGGTCCAAAGTCCATTTCTTTATACCACTCTTCTCCCTATCACCTTTTATGTCTTTACCACTTTCTATTATAAGTCACCAGCCCTGGAAAACCTGATAGAAATCACAGATGAAGCCATTCTGTAACCCTGGGAGGCCTTCAGAGTCTGGCTTTGTGTTTACATCTTGCAGACTTTGTTCTCCAGCAACCTTGATCTTTGGGCCACTGCATTCTCTTGACTTGACTGAAAATATGAGTTGAACCCTACTTTGCACCAGGCACTGTGCTGAGCTGTTCACATTACTCCTCTGACCCTCATTACAACCCTCTGATATAGGTTCTGTCGTTATCTCATGTCTCAGAGGACAGAACAGACTCAGAGAGGTTAAGTAACTGGTCAGGGGCGGCACAGTTAGGTTGAGATAGGAGTCCAGAGGGTCTGATATGTTAGGCTATAGAACTTCCCTTTGATGAGACAAAAGGGTCATTCCCCTAGCACTGTGCATGGTCCATAACCCAGACAAGATCAACTATTAAAAAGCCAGTGGTTCAGGACTTGCAAATTGGATGTCAGTTCAATTCCTTCTGTCCCACAGTTATTCTCTGGGTGCCCATTCTGCAAATACAGGGGGCACCACCTGCTTCCAGGCAGAGGCCACATCTTTCTGCCTTTCCATGAGGACTCACTGGAAACTGTTTTTTTTTTTTTTTTAATATTTTAACGTTTATTCATTTTTGAGAGACAGAGAGAGACACACGCAGCATGAGCAGGGGAGGGGCAGAGAGACAGGGAGACACAGAATCCAAAGCAGGCTCCAGGCTCCGAGCTGTCAGCACAGAGCCTGATGTGGGGCTAGAACCCACGAACTGTGAGATCATGACCTGAGCCAAAGTCTGGTGCTTAACCGACTAAGCCACCCAGGCACCCCTGGAAACTGGGTTTTTAACTGACTTTGGCTGAATGTTCCTATTATTCACATGGATGAACCAAAGCCTTGGATGCCAGCATAAGGAGATGCCCCTTTGAACAGCTATACCTCCAAATGGCTTCTCACCACACTGGACTAAAATCCAAACTCCTGCTCTACATGATCTGACCCTCGCCTACCTCTCTTACCCTTGGTCACATGACTGAATAAATCTGACTTCAGCCTTTGTCATGTCTTTAAAGAGCCCTTTTAATTTGTTTCTTAATTTATTTTATGACCACCCTAGCTCCCCTACTAAGGAGCACACGGTAAATACTTGATTTGTTTGAATTTTCTGCCATTTGTTGTTTCTGATCCTTGTTGATTAACCCAAAGCATCATCAGGAATGGAAGCCTACTTTTTGGAGGCAATTTTCCATGGATCTCTTAAACAGAACAGAGGCACAACTGCCTTTGTTCTCACTCGTTTTCAAGGGTGTTTGTGTAGTGAATAGCCTTTGGAGATAGAGATAGTACCCTCCCTCCAGAGCAAAGAGCGGGTTTGCTGGACAGCCTTGAGAGAGAGAGATAATGGCTTGATCTGGAGATGGAGGAAATGGGCTCGCTGCCCATTATAAAAGATGTGAATGCCCAAATACATGCAGCAATGCAACCCACTGTGAGTTGCAAGTGCCACCTGGTCCTTCCACATCACCCCTGGGAACAGGACTTGGGGAACTGACACAAGACATTGCTGACACAAGAGCTACTGCTATTGCTATGAGTAATAAAGTCCTTTGCCTCTGACCCAGGAGTCTCATGTTTTCTTGCAACATCCATGAAATTGTGGAAGGCTAACTAGTTGACTTGCAAGTAAGGTAAAGGCCCAAACCTTTCATATTCTTGACGCCCACAGCCAAACTTTGCTCCAGGTGACACACTTTTGCTTCACTCATGCTCCAGCCGTCAGTGACAGCACAGAGTTACAGCAACCCTGAAGTCTGTGCTCTTTCTGGGATAGAAAATTGCCAGGGAGTTTATTTAGAAACTTATTTATAATACTATAAGGGAATCTCATTAGTACTGAGATGTTTATAAGTATCAAGACGTTACCAATTTGCAACATCACCAAATATAAGAGGAGAAAGCATGAAGCTTATTGTACACCTTGCTTGATCCTTTTGTGACTTTGTGTCAGCTGACTGCTCTCTATTCAAGGCACTGGATGGCACCATGGGGTTTCCCTTCCATGATCCTGAATAACATGGTTTGGGGGAGGGGTAACTTGTATATTGTTATACTGTTTTACAATTAGCTATATGACTTTACAATTAAAAAAGATTTGAAATACTAAAAAATACAATTCATTATAATGACAAAAGTAAGTTCCAATATCAAATAAAAGGAAAGA